CCAACGTCGGATACCAACTTCCGACTGTCGGCCCAGTACTGGCTATAACGTCGCGTCCAGATCTTATCCAAATGATAAGATCGGCCTAACGTTGAATACTAGTGTTGGGCCGACATTGGTAACCGACGTCGACCCAAGGTTGAATGCCGATGTCGAGCCCACATTGGAAGTCGATTCAATGTTAAAATGCCAGTGTTGGGCCGACACTACTCATTAACATCGGCCCAATGTTGCATGCCAGTGTTGAGCCGACACTGGTGCAATATTCGTAAAAAAAATATTTTTTTAATTAAAGATATTTTATATACAAGATGTTTATAAGTGTATGGTGAGATTTTACCTCTCTTAAATTAGAAATTTAAATTATTTTCGAAAAACATACCTTGAGAGATTTGAACTTACAAACCTAGGACCTCTGGATCATGAGTCTCTTGCCTTACGTGCTACACCATTTCTTTAACTGAATTATGTTACTTATTACCTATTGAGGTTTGTTGAATCTTGCCCGATGTTGAACGTTGGGCTGACGTTAGCGATATCACGGCAAACTGACTGTCTTTAATCAGTCACGCGATTTTGGCCCAGGCTACATTAGTTGATTCTTACTCAATGACGATTCTTGGCCATTGTCGGGCAAGCGTTGGCAATATGTTGGTAACCGATTGTTACGCCAATCATGGCGCGACAGCGTGCCAAACTATGTTACCGACTCTTACTTAATGATGACTCTCGGGCCAACGTTGGCAGTATGTCGGTAACCGGTGATTACAACAATTACGACGCGACGTCGGCCTAGACTATATTAGTCGACTCTTATTTGAAGACAACTTTAGGCTACCGTTGGGCCAGAATTGGGCCAACGTACGTTGACAGTATATCGGCAATCGGTTGTCATGACAATCACGGCGAGACGTCGACCCAGGCTAAGTCAGCCGACTCTTATCTAAAGACAACCTGTTGCCAACATTTGGTCGAGTGTCGACATTAAGTAAGAGTCGGTTAATGTAACTTGGCTCTACATCGCACCATGTTCGATTAATGATAGGCAGTTTGCCGTGATATTGCCAACGTCGGCCCATTGTTCAATATCGGGCAAGAGTCGGCAAATCTTACCTGGGTTAAGTGTTATGACATGAGGTACATATTTCATGTAATGTACTCGTATTTATTGCATTTAGTGCATTGAATTCAATCTGCGTACTTTGTATGCTTTGAGCATAAATCCCGTCCGCTAAAATACCGTATATTCCAAACAGGTGGGATACAAGACAACAAACTAAACAAAGAATACGAAAGCAAAGCACTTGTATTTTGCTATAAAGCATGCTTTACTATTCCTCTACACCCCACATAGGAATGCCAGTCGTTTTCAATAGCGCCAATGTTTGGCCCAATACATAGTAACCAATAATTGGCCAATACTTGGTATTCTATTATGGACTGTATCTGGCATATGACTGGGTAAATTGATTGGCACTTTGCAATAGCGCCAATGCTTGGCCCAATATATAGCAATCAATTATTGGCCGATACTTGGTACCTTGTTCTGGGCCATGTCTGGCATATGACTGAGTACCATTGATTTCCGTAGTTTTGTCTGTTATACTTAATTTGTCGTGCAATAATTATATTGAGTTCTTATTAAATATGTCACAAAATTATTACAGACAAAAAAGAAAATTAAAACAATTAAAACTTAACAATGATGAGTGTATCAATAATATTGAAAAAAGTGACATAAACAATCACAGTGAAATTAATATTGACATTGGGAACAGTGTAAATGAGATTATGTTAGATCACAATGAAGAAAGTATTAATTTAAAAGGAGATAATTGTGATTCTACAAGCCCTTGTGATGCTATTGCCCATGTTCTTTCTTAGTTCTTTTGATTTATAAGGAGTCTTAGTTAGTTTGATTTGTTATACAAGATTCTATAAGCATTGTTAATTGTGATTCTATA